CCCCCCCGGGACTCCGGGTGGGGTGGGGTCGGGTGGAGCTCCCTGCGCCCAAGTGCCCTGGCCACCTCTTTCTGCCTCAGTTTCCCCACTTTTTTTTAAAGCCGGTTGGGCGTGGACCCCTCCCCCAGCCGAGCTGTCTCCCGGGGCCTCGGCCTCTTCTCTTGTGCCCCGCCCCCCTTCCACGCTCTCGGCCTCTCAAACTCTGGAAATTTCGACGCCCCTGCCCTTACCCCTGCTCCCAGAAGTCGTCTAGGGCTCCCCGCATATCCCATCGCCCCATGGAGATGCCTTGCTGTGGTCTCTGGGACATCCCCTCCAAGGGGGGGACACTGATTTGTGTCCCAGACTTTGTTTTCTCATACACGTGGCCCCTGGGCACCGTCTTTCTGGGCTGGAGTGGGGAGCCAGGGGCCACCAGTCCTCGTCCCGTCCCCCCCCTCCCGCCCCCGGCTCGGGCTCCAGCCCTGGGCCCCGGGCTCCCTCCCGAGGTTCCCGGAGCCAGCGGGGGTCCCCGGGTCCCCAGCCCGCAGCCCCCAGCTCTGCCTGCGAACTCGTTAGAAATGCAAATCGCCCAGGCCCCACCCCACCCCCCACTCACCGAGGTTTGGGGGGTGTATGTGTGGGGTCTGGGCGGGTCTTTTCACAAGCTTGGCCATTAGACTCAGGAGTTTCAGACGACTAAATCCGGTGTGAAGAGAGGCGCTTAGGACACATCACCTTCGTTCTAGCTAGAGACAACTTGGAGATCGCGGGGATGGGGCTGGAGACCAGGGTAGAGCTAAAAGGAAAGAAGGCGAGTGTACAAAGGCTGAAAGGACACACGCTACACCGGGTCGGGGGTCTTCAAGGAGGGCTCCAGCAGTCAAGAACTGGATCTGGAGATCCTTCCTTGAATACTTGCCTTGCCCCTGTGGATGCGCAATGTACTCTCTGTCCAATTATAGACAAGGTGTACTTTTCAATGCAACCAGGCAGGATTCCCTTCCCCAGCCATTTAACACTCTCCAGCCAGCTCAGGACTGGGCTGTAGGACCCGGGAAGGGGAAGGCTGCGGTCACCAAGGTAACTCTGCCCCCTGCCGGCTGTTCTCACACACTATGGGTAGTTTTTCATCTTTTTTTTCCCCCCTCTCAGTCACCAGGAACCATCACATAGTCCCACAGCACCTGGAATGTCTACCAGTGTGGTCAGCTGTTGTGGGTTTCTGTGCAATGGTGGATTTGTGTGATTATTAGATAAGTATTCCTCTATGGTGAGACTCATCCCTACCCTATTCTTAGTTCTAGCTCTGTCTTGATTTATTTATTTGTATTATTATTTATCTGCTTCTGGTCTCAAGGCCAATCCCCTTCACTCTGTGTGTGTGTGTGTGTGTGTTGGTTCTGGAGCTTGAACTCAAGGCCTGGGATCTGTCCAGAGCGTTTGTGCTCAAGGCTAGAGCTCTATCACGTAAGCCACAGCTCTACTTGTTTTTTGTTTTTCCTGGTCAATTGGGTGATGAGAGTCTCATGGACTCTACTGCCCGGGCTGGCTTTGAATTGCGATTCTCAAATCTCAGCCTCTTGAGCAGCTAGGCATGAGCCATCAGTGCCTGGCTTCCTTTACTCATTTTTAAATATTTTTCCTTCCTGTTCTTGTGTCTCGAGTACTTCAGGTGCTTAAAGTTTGTTTGTTAATCTTATTTTAGCTTTATTTATTTATTGACAGAGTCTTGCTCCAGGTTGTTCTTGAACTCGGGATCCTCTGCATCCTCTGCCTCAGCTTCCCAAGTGCTGGGATTATAGCCACCACACCCCTTCTTTTCTCTGTCTTTCTGAGCCTGTGTCCTCATTTGTAACTGGGGGGGATGTACTGGTTTCTCAGGATTGTTAGGAGAAATGTAGAGAAATTAGAGGAAATGATCCTAGTAGGTGCTAGATTCAAAGTTGGCTTTTCAAAGGGCCTCACATTCTGAGGACAGTGTGTGGAGTGTGAGGACACACCTCATTCTGCTTTTCTCAGGGCTTTGGTACTTGACTCTCTCCAGATACAGTTTCACAAGACAGGTATCTGGGATGTGGGGGACCTCTCAGAGTAGTATAGTAATAGGTTAGTAATAGGTTTAATTTGCTAGTCAGACCTTATACTAATTGATTAGCATGTATCATCTAATATTCCTATGAGGTAGTAACTACTATTTTGTATCCCTTTTAGAAAGCAGGACACTGAGGCTTAGAAGTAAATATTTCAAATCGCAGGTCTGGTTTGATTCCTTCTTTCACTCAGCATGTAGCTATCTCCTGAGGCCTGCAATGAGAAAAATTTCCACCCTAGAAAGGTCACATGTGCCTGACATTGTAGAAAGAACCCAGAACCAGGGGGAAATGGCTCAGAGGACCTATCTATCTCCCATTTCTATTGCTCAGGGCTCTGTTATTACAAAGGGCTGCCCCTGAGCAGCTCCTGCCCTTGGGGAGCTCAGAAACGGGGAGGGGGTTGGGATCTCTCATCTAAACCCCATCTCTAGTGATGAAGTAGTAACCACCGAGAGAGCTCATTGCTTTCACAGTCCAGCTCAATATGGCTGTGTGGGAACAGAGGGGACTCAGCTGTTCCTTAGTGGGAGGTATTAACGAAGGTGGCAATTGTACAGGACTTAGGAAGAACAAATTGAGCAGCCTTTCTGACTGAAGAAACCACCATCACTCCTGGGCGATTTCATCAGAGTGTAGACAATATTGGGGTTACCTGGTTGAACGGGGTGTGAAGTTTAAACAACGTAACATTAACGTAAATCTCTCAGAACAGCCGCTGGCACAGAGGCTGAACACGGCAGGTGAGGGAAGGGCTGTGGCAAGGAATGCGTGACCGTGTCAGGATGAGGATTTAAAGTTTATTAAGGAATCTCACGGAAAAGCAAAAGAATTGGCGGGGCGCATTTGAGAACGAGGGAGGAATAAACGGTGGGGAGGAAGTTCCAAACAAAGGCCAGGCGGAGGAGAGGCGGGCGCAGCGCCAGCGCTCCCGTTCTTTGTCTTCAAGCAGGCCAGGTAGGGCGTGAGGTGGCAGTGGTGGTGGTGGTGGGGTCACTGCAGACCTACACCCCAGCAGGTCCAGAGGCCGCGCGCCACCTGGTGGCCACGGGTGGTGGAGTCCGCTGGGGGCAGTGGAGAAAAACCTTGGGATTTCCCTGCTCCTCCCCCTCCCGAAAACCTGGGAAACTGAGGCGGGGTAGATTAAGTTGCAGGAGGGTTGGGAATCTCTCACCTAGACTGGGTCCCCAGTCTAATCCCATTTCACAGCTAAGGTAAGTGTGCTGAGGTGTGTGTGTGGGGTGGGTGGGTGGGAAGACAGGCCGAATAAGGGAGCACTTTTAAAATAGAGGCATCAGGACACCTGGAGTTAAAAGACTGAAGCTTTCTTTGATGGCACCAATGGCCCGGATCTTAGTTTGCCCATCTGTCCTATGGGCCGGGAGAAAATAAAAGAGGAGGAAGAGAAAGTCTTTCCCGCCCACCCGGAGGTAAAAAGCTTTAAACACTTCCCCGGAAAGCAGAGTTGTATAGATCCATTTGCATACGAACGCAGTCACCTCCAGTTAAACTCCGTTCCTTTAATCTCCGGTCCAATTTGTCCCGCGGCCTGGGAGCAGGGCCCCGGTGAATACCTAGAAACCCCGCCTCCTGCGGCCCGCCCACAGGGCCGGGCTTCGATGCACGTGCTCACCCTGCTCCTTCTCGACCCTCCTCCTAGGACGGTCTCATTGTTGGCGCGGGGGAAGAGAAAGGGGTAGTAGGGCATTCTGACTTTAATAGTTCACAGTAGAGAGAAGATCTTGAAGCAACCCTTTGTTAAATGGTTATTAAAAGTCCTATCAGGGCTCGTGGTATTGATAGGCCTCTGTTTCGTTCGTCTCAAAGCGTCCCCATGCTACCTGTTACCCCCTTCAATTGGTAGAGTCCTGCGTGGCCGGCCTCGTCCGGAGGACTCCAATTCCCAGAGTGCCTTGCAGGTCCTGGCGTGGCGGCGGCGCGTGACGTCAGGGGAGGGAGCTGGCCAGTGCTGAGGGGGCGCGGCGCAGAGGGGCGCGGAGCCCGGCGGCTCGGGGCCCCAGAGCGCGCCGTGGCCGGGAGCCCGCCGGCCCCTGACAGCCCCCTCCCCCCGGTGGACGACGACGAGGGCGCCGGTCATGGCGGAGCAGCGAACTCGGTGCGGGCGCTGAGGACCGGCGCATGGAGCGGGACGAACGGCCGCCTAGCGGAGGGGGAGGCGGCGGGGGCTCGACGGGGTTCCTGGAGCCGCCCGCCGCGCTCCCTCCGCCGCCACGCAACGGTGGGTGAGGGGCCTGAGCAGCCTGGGCCGGGCGAGGACCGGCCTCCTGTCCCCCCTTCCCCCATCAGCGGTCCCCCTCCCCTCAGCCTACTCTCGCCCCGGGAACCCGCTGCGCGGACTTCGCCCCGGTCCCGCGGACGCCCCTCTTCCTCGCGGGACGCTCTCGAGGCGGGCTCCCCCCTCCCCCGTTGCCTTCGGCGCGGACCCTCCCTCCGCCCGGTTCCCTCGGCTTCACCTCCCCCTCCCTCCGGTCCCCTCGGCGAAGGCCTTCCCTCCTCCCCACCCCCCGCCCGCCCCCGCAGCCCCCGTAACCCTCACCCCCGGTGGACCTCTCTTTCCCTCCCCTGCCCCTCGACGCGCTTCCAACCCCACCCACGCGGCGGGGCAGAGTGCCTAGCGCCTGCCCTTCTCCCTCCATCCCGGGGTCCCCCCACGCCGCCTTCCCCGCTTCCCTTGGTCCTGCGGACCCGACGCCACACCCTGCCCTTACCTTTTTAGATCGTTTTTCTTCTCCGCAAGCCCCGCATTTCCTCATCCCGCGAGTTGCTCCCCCCCCCCGCGCCCCGTGGTTTCCCTTTTCGGACCTCTTAATGGCCCTGCCCCCCCCACCTTCCGACCCCCCGCGATCTCCTGCCTGCCTCCACCCCTGCTCAGTCCTGCCCAGCCAGGCGACTTTCTGCTGGCTCAGGTCTCCCAAGCCGGACCCGGACTCGGGGACACCTGCCTCTTCCCGGCTTCTGCCGGCACGTCCCGGTCCGCACTTGTCCAGCCCCGTCCTCTTCCTTCCTGCCCGTGTCCAGGACCCCAGGCGTTGGGGAATTCCTCACCTGGCCGAGCCTTTTCCTGTCCCCCCCCCTCTGCTCTGCTCTGGTCCGGTCCGGGTCCTCAGGTTCCTTCGGGCCTGGCTCGCCCTCCTCCCCTCGCGTCCCCCCCTCCCCGCGGGGTGTTTTATTTGTATCTGTTTGATATTTTCCCTCTCGGTGTTTGCAGCGGAATGTTTTTATTGGTAACGCGTAAGGAGCTTTTGTGAGGTCGTAAAAGGTGAACTTTTGAACTTGGAAAGCGCCCTGGAGCAATTAGCGCAGGCTATAGCCCCGGGAGGGCTGCTTTACAAAGGGTGCTCGGCCCGGCCGGCAAACGCTCCCGCGGCAAACCCGATTTATTTATTTATTTGCCCTGCCTTCCACCTTTCACGTCTCATTTCCGAATAAAGGGTAGGCTCTCGGAGATCCGCGCCTCCTCCTCTCTCTGCGCCATAAACTCGCAATTCTCAGAAAGATCTAGGACCGAACAGTGACTAACAAGTAACAGATTTCAAATTGAATGCAAACACCCGGGACAGTTAGGAGGCACTAAAAATTAATTGCTTTGGCGAGAAGTTTCTCAATCAGGACAGTAACCTGGCAGGTGTGAGGAAAGTAACCTGAAAACAGGTCACTTGGGCGTTCAGTTTTTGAATGAAAGAGAAGCTACGAGAGGAAAGAAATCTAGGTCGAATCCGCGCTTGCATAAGTTTATTAACTTTTATTGTTAATTCAGTAGGTCTGTTCTGTTCCAGTCCAGTTCAGGGAAAAGTGTTTAGAAGAGAGCCTGGTTACTTTAGTTTGATGTTTATCAAATAGTGAGATCTTCTAGGCCCTTGCTCTTTTTTACAGATGTGTATGATGTGTGGTGTCTGGGTGGCTACGCCGCCCGTTGAGGTGCCTTCTGAGACTTTCCGAATGTGAGCATGTTTGAAATCAATAAAATTCCCTGTCACAAAGGAAAAGGCAGGAGTTCAGTTAGGATAGAAGGAAATAGTATAGAAACAAAGGATTTCTTTAATACTTTCAACCTCTAAAGCCTACTTGGTGTGATTTGATTTTGTATTAATTGGTGAAGGTTGTAGATCACAATCTAAAATTTATCACGGTGGTTTTTTTTTTTAACATAAGCTACAGATATATTTTACAACAATTTATTAGGGTGTATATTTCCATATTGTCTTATGTATGAGTACTTCCCTTTACCCACGTATGCATATAATGTAGATGACAGATTTTACTGCAGATATCACTTTCAGTTCTTGAGAATATTATTGTAAAGGAAAGCAAAGAAAAATGCATTTTTATTAATTATTCATTAATACATTTTCAAGACCTCAATGGCAATTTTAACTCTTAATCAGATTTCTCTTTCATAGTCTCATCTCCTGAACTGGTCTGACCCACTTAAAAGAATCCATTTAGGCTAACATATCTTTAGTATTTTACATCAGTTTGAGTTAGTGATACAAATATATATATATATATATATATTTTTTTTTCTGCTGAAAACACATGGGAACTTTTGACAGGTTAATAAGCTTAAATGTGCATATTGTGGGATATTTTATTTTTTAGTGTAAATAGAATTGTATAGTGTTTCACAGGTTTTTTTTTTGTACTTATTAATGTCACAGAACTATCAAAAATTGCTTTTTGAATAATGACCACATTTTTTCTTTTTTTTCTTCCTAATATGTTTCTCTAGAGGTAAATGAAACTGCTTAATTTCTGGCCAGGAAAACAAAAACACCTAACTTTTCATTCAGCCACAAATTTCCATTTTGCATGAAGTATTTACAAGAGATGTTATCTAGGTAGAAGGTCTTTGGTCTGTGTCATGAAGAAAGAAACTGGAGGTGGAATTTTAGAAATGTTTCCTGCCGGAAACGCCATTGATGCTGAATTTACAGTCCTTTAAATGTTTTTTATGATTCCATCAGAACAGAGTTGTTAGCCTTTTTGATGCACTATCACCCTTCCAGGAATTCCCTGTGCTGACTGTGCTCTTTTCAGTTGTTGCTTATAGGTTTTCATAACAAACATGAACTCATTTAGTCCTGATGAGGATTGCTCCCTTTTGGGAGTTCAGAAGGAAGATGAATGATTTGAGGAAGCTTATGCTGAGTCTTGTGTTTGTTCTTTTTATTTTAAGAGAGTAAGGGATAGACTTTTAAATATTTAAAGCAAAAGACAGTTATAAGCCTTTATAAATAACTAGAAACATATTTTATGTAATTACACATTAGTGAAAATTAGTCCCCTAAGTAATATGTCATTTTCCTGCTATGAGTGTAACACAAAATGTTCCTGAAAATAAGTTAGCAGGTATTTCCCATGACAACTTAAATTCTCAGTTCTTTGACTTTAAAAATTAGTTCTTCATTAACCTAGAATTTTCTACTTTTGTTTTTATTTTTAAAAACCTATTCTAGTACTTAAATATACAACACAAGGTTTTTCTTTAGAAGTTTCTGTAATCTCCAGGGATTACTGAAAGGCCAAAATGAACAGATCCATTCACTGGAAATTTTGAAAAGCTGAGTTGGGAGATAGCTACATTTCCAATATGTGATGTCCATTTAGCCAATTCTGAGCATCTCTGCTTCATATTACCGGGATATGATCATGAAATGCTTCTAAATCACAATTCATATAAATTAATTTGAAGCCTGAATTCTGTGGCATAAATATATATGCCTGTGCCTGTGTTAACATGTGAAAAGGAATTAGGAGGTAAACTAATGAAAAAAAATAATTGAACTGCTGGCAAATTTCCAAAACTATGCCCACACCATGCATTTTAATATTGTATTTATAATATATAAAGTAGGATAGTGAAAGCGCCTTATTTTCTGTATAAACCAGATTCAGGTCATCTGTATGTCAGAGTGAAAAAAACAAGTTCTGAATCAACAGATAAACAGATGTCAGTTTCAACAAAGAATAATTGTCTTTGAAACAACTTTAAACTGGAGATAGCTATCTAGTATGTCCTCATAGACAGTGATCTGAAATCAGTTCTTTGTAGTATTTTGAAAATGTTTCCCAAACTGAAATTTTTTTCACTCAAGAACCAGTGTTCTTTACCACTTGAGCCACACCTCTACTTCCATCAAACTTTCCTTTTTTAAAAAAAAATAATTACTTGTTATAGAGGTGATTTACAGACAGATTACAATTATGAGTCAGGTAATGAGTACATTTCTTTTCAAACAATGTCTTCAGTTCCCTCATTTTCTCCCAGTCCCTCAACTTTTATATCTTAAGGCTAGCTTAAAAACAAATTTCTGCTTAAGTCAATTTCTAATAGACTTATGAATGCCTTTGATTGATACTTGAAGTTCAGAGCTACTAAATGGCTAAAAATCTGCAAGAAGGGACTTCATACTTAACCAGGTAACTCTTTTCTGGGTATTGAGCTTTTTAGAGCTTCAGTGTCAGATTCATCTGAACTTAATCCTCAAAAAAATGCACAAAAGTCTCTGGGTCAAGCTGTCTTCTGTTTATTCATGTTTTCCAATATAGTCTGACTTTATGAAAAATATTCAGGTGTTTAGCTTGCAAGTAATGAAAAAGTAGAAAAAGAATTCCGTGTGAGCTGCCTAGTCTTACTTTTTTCCATTGTTGTTTGGAGAGAACTCTATTTGAAAGAATAAAAGTATTTCCTTGTTCTTTATACCTGAAGGCATACTGTTAACCAGCAGCCTTTCTAGAGCACCTTCCCAAGAAATAGGTTTTTTTTAATGCGTCTGGATAAAATTATTTAAGACTTTACTAGTGTACGCAGTAATTTTAATTAACAGTGATTCAGTCTGAGGGGAGGACCAGGATTTCCTCAGCTGGCTGCCCGGGAACTGAATTGCATGTTTCCCCACCCCTAGCTGCATAAATCTTTTGATCTGGAAGCTACAGTGGTTTTGCGAAAATAGGTAGTTTGAGCATCTTGGAATTTTTTATGCTTTCAACTTTTTGCATTTATAGGTATAATTGAACCCTCAAACTTTTATCTTGATGGAAGCAAGCTGGTTGAATTTATATTTAAGTAGAAAACTTAAAAAACACGCTTTTTTGGTTTTGCTTTAATATTTTCAAAAGATAGCTTTTGTGCAGGAGAAAAACCTTTTATTCAAAGCAGTTTATTTTTATATAATCTTGAATGGAGAAATATAAATTTTTATGTTTCTTATGCTTTAA